CTGAGCCTGCGCATCTGAAGCCTGTGCTCCGCAACGGGAGGGGCCACAACAGTGAGAGGCCTGCGTACCGCAAAAAAAAAAAAAAAGTAATTCCAGTTTCACAAGAAAGGCTGATCTTTGAGAGTTCTTTTCAAGACAGGAACTTTTAGCATATAATGGATCAAGTGCCAGTGAGGTCTCTCCCTGCTCAGCTGTGCCCACATTTAATGCTGCTTCCAGATAAAGTGCAAACCAGCCGTAACCCCTGGAGACAGGAAGGCCTGCGGGATGGAGAGCAGCTCCCACCAATGAAGGAACACTGCCTTCTCCAAACTTTTGATTCTTCTGACCCTCTCTGTGTTTAAACACCTTTTCCCAGGCAGACCATTCATTAGATGTTGGAAAAACCATAGCCTTATGGTCGACCTCTGCTTTTTTCCCCTGGTCTTCTTCCATCACTTCTGGCTCTGCGTCCTCCTCCAGTGCCGTCACCCTTCCCACTTCTGCTTACCCCCTTATGTTTGTGGGTCATAATCACATTCCCGCTCTCAGTCTCCGCTCCTCCAAGTCTCCTGTTTATTTCCTCTAACCCTGCGTCTTAGCTGTACCTGCCATCGTTCTCTTAACTTACGCCAGTTTGTCTCCGCTGTTCTGGTAAAGAGGTGCTCACCTCACTGAGAGCGTGGAGTGGCCTGGGGGGTCCTGGGGGCAGTGCCTGCGCCTGGCCAGCCTGGGGACACCTGGCGTTGCTTCTGCAGAGACCCAAACCTCGGGGACCAGCCAAGCGCATCTCCTCCTCCGTGCCTGGTCAGCTCTTGCTGTTTGTCTGTTTGGAATGACCCTTTTTCTGTCTTCTAACATCTACTGCCAACTCCCCTTTGTACCCAAGCTGAAGGCTGTAGCGCTCATTCATTCCTCTCTGTGGCCTTTACAGCACTTTGCATGCAGGACTCAGGCAGTATGCTTTCACAGTTTTTTTGAGGTATAATTCACACATCGTACAATCCACCCGTTTACAGCGTACAATGTAATAGGGTTAGTGTGTCCTCAGAATTGTGCGACCATTACCACAATCAGCTTTCTAACATTTTCATCATTCCCTCTGATCACCCCGTCCCACCCCAGCCCTGGGCAACCCCTGATCCGCCTTCTAACTCTGGATTTGCCTTGTCTGGACATTTCATAAAAATGGAGTCGTACAGTGTGGTCTTCCGTGACTGTCTTCTTTCAGTCCAGATAATGTGTTCATGGTTCATGTTGTAGCATGTATCAGAACTGCCTTCCTTTTCATGGGCGAATCAATCAATACTTTTTGAATGAATGTTTTTACATTTCTATTTTTTATATAAATTTATTTTATTTATTTATGTATTTATTTTTGGCTGTGCTGGGTCTTCGTTTCTGCACGTGGGCTTTCTCTAGTTGCGGTGAGTGGGGCTTACTCTTCGTTGTGGTGCGCAGGTTTCTTGTTGCGGTGGCTTCTCTTGTTGCGGAGCACGGGCTCTAGGCGTGTGGGCTCAGTAGTTGTGGCACGCGGGCTCAGTAGTTGTGGCTCGCGGGCTCTAGAGCGCAGGCTCAGTAGTTGTGGCGCACAGGCTTAGCTGCTCCGCGGCATGTGGGATCTTCCTGGACCAGGGCTCGAACCCATGTCCCCTGCATTGGCAGGCAGATCCTTAACCACTGCGCCACCAGCGAAGCCCCAGTATAATTTTAAATTTAGATCTTTAGCCAGTTTTAAATTTATGTTTACGTATGACATGAGTAGGAATCTAACCACAGCTGGGCCCCGTTTTCCTAATACAATTCATTGGTTTCAAATGCATCTTGATCATATTCTAAATCCCACTGATCTAATTGTATCAGTGCAATGCTCTTCTAATTAGTGTGCTTTTATACTGTTTTATAATCTGGTAGGGCAAGTCCTACACCATTTTTCTTCCTTTAAAATGTTTTCTTGGCTCTTTTTATATATTTACACTTGAGGATAAATTGTAGAATCAGTTACCAAGGTTCAAAAAGAGCCTTTGGGATTTGGTTTGGAAATGTATTTAGAGTATATTTTTAGGTGAAAACAAAATCAGCTTATATATAGTCTATATAATATCATTGCCATTTTGTTTCTAAAATTACATGTATGTATAATAAAACAAAGTCTCAAGGAATATATGACTATATATAGAAGTGGTTATCTCCTGATGCTAATATTATAGGTGATTTGGGGGGGTGGTGCCTTTTTTTTCTAAATTTTCTACAATGCATGTGTAATACTTTTTAAATCAGAAAAATAAAACCCTTGAAAAAATGTTGTTAAACTAAAATATATTCATTAGTAACTTCATGATTATCAACTTAACAGAACCCAAATTAGAATAAAAAATATTTCATGGGCAATAGCTACATGACTTGTGAAGATTCCTGGCTCAGAATATAAACCAAAGTTGTCCAGAGAATTCCTGGGAAGGATTAAGGTAAGAAACTGAAGCAGTACAACCTCATAACCTCCTCACTTACTTCAGCTGGTTGAAGAGACCTGAGAGCTGCAGCATTTTCACCGAGCAGTATTTCTGGGTTACGGCCTATGCGGCCGTGTTCATAAGGCCCCTTGCCTCTCTGGTTTCCCCGTTTCAGAGACTCTTATTCATATGATGCAGCCAGAGCTTGAGGTACACCAAGACTTCGTGTGGTCTGAATCTGGCCCTTGCACGTCCTGGTCTTTTAGCAACGTTTAGCAGAAAGAAGATTGCCAAATCTGTTCCCAGCTCTTTGCTATATTGATGTTTGAAAAAGCAGCATAGTCATTCTTGGCTCAGAGCATCTAGGTTCTGTCAACAGTGTAATTGAAACTTGGATTCTTTTTGCATTTTAATCTACATGCTCTTTTCTGGGTAATCTTATCTGTTTAATAAAAACAACGGTAATAATAATGACAACAACATCTAACATTTCCCAAGCATTTTCTGTGTGTCTGGCATTGTACTGTACTTTATATGAATATCTCATTTTTTTATATATACATATATTTTAGTTTTGGCTGTGTTGGGTCTTCGTTGCTGCGTGTGGGCTTTCTCTAGTTGCAGCGAGCGGGGGCTACTCTTTGTTGCGGTGTGCGGGCTTCTCACTGCGGTGGCTTCTTTTGTTGGCAGAGCGCGGGCTCTAGGTGCGTGGGCTTCAGTAATTGTGGCTCACGGGCTCAGTAGTTGTGGCTCGCGGGCTTAATTGTTCCGCAGCATGTGGGATCTTCCCGGACCAGGACTCGAACCAGCGCCCCCAGGGAAGCCCCTAAACTCAATTTTTAATTTACTTCCTCTCCTAAAACCTGCTCTGCCTCCTGTATTTTCAGTCTTGTTTGTCTGACTCTCTGTTCTCTCTCACATAACCCTGCCTCCTGCCAGTCTTGCCTTTGGAGAATCTCCCACCCGCTTGGTCCCCCCCTGTTCCTAGGCCCACCTTAGGTTTAGTCCTGCTTCACTCTACCCGGGTTCGTGACAGTAACCTCCCTCGACGTGTCCCTCCTTCCACTCAGGCTGACATGCTTTATCTTCCCAGTGTCTTCTGAGAAAATGAAGGTGATCGCGTCACTCTTCTGTCTTAAAGGTCTAGGACTTGCTGCTGTTGTCGTCCTTGTTGTTCTAACCAGATGAAATCCGAACCCCACAGCTCTGTGTATGCTGTCTGGCCCCAGTCTGGCCCTTCAGCTTCACCTCTGTCGTTCTGCACCCAGCCCCCTGCCTGATGCGTCAGCTGCAGGGGAGGCTCACTCTCCCGAGGTCTGCACCGAGCCCCAAGGTGGCTCTGCGCGTCTGCACTTGCTTTATCGCTCGACCGCCTCTTCTGTCTCTGATCTCCTGGACACGCTCCTGTTCGGGAACATCTCGGCTTCCTCCAGGGTGAAGCGGACATCCTCCTGTCTCCCCCGAAGCGTGTTCAGGCCTCGGTCATGGCCCTTTCCCTGCTGGGTCATAATCGTCTGTGTACGTGCAGATCCGTTCATCTTTCAGCACCTAGCACACAGTAGGCCCTCAGTACGTGCTGGTTCGGTGCCTCAGGGAATGTCAGAGAGAGTGTTTAAAGCAATAGGAAATATACTTGTAAACAAACGGAGGACTAGACGCGTCTCTCTTTGGCTCAGTCAGCAAGGGAGTGGCACATGGCCGGTGGAGAAGCCTCCCTCAGGCAGGGACCGGGGTGCAAGACGAAGATCCTGCCTGATCACGCGTGTACCCCTCCCTGTCCTGGGCCTGTGAGTGATGGTGTCGCCCAGTGGGAGAATACTCGCAGAGTACGAGCCCTGGGGTGGGAGCGCAGCTCTGCAGGTCACCCTCTCAGGGCCTTGGACCAGTCACTAACCTTCGTTTTCAGGAAGAGACATTTGATATTTACTTTTACACTTTCCTGATTGTTAGTTTTGACACAGGAAGACTTCACATAGAAACTGCCTCTTTTTTGTCATTTCTCTTTTCTTTTTTAGCTTTATTGAGCTAAGATTGACGAAATTGTAATATATTCAAGGTATACACCCTGATGGTGTGATGTACACAGACGTCATGAAGGGATTCTCCATCCTTTCGGTCGAGTTATCAACACATACATCATCTCACGATTTCCTTTTTTTCCGTATGAGAACACTTAAGTCCTGCTCTCTTAGCGGATTTCAAGTCTGCAACACAGTGTTGTGGAGTCTAGTCATTGTGTTGTACCTTAGACCTCAGACCTCATTCATCTCATAACTGAAAGTCTGTCCCTTTCCCCACCCACTGCCGTTTCCACACCCCCAGCCCCTGGCAGCTACCGTCCTATTCTCTGTGTCTCTGAATTTGATTTGACTTTTTCCCCCCAGATTCCACATATAAGTGACACCACGCAGTATGTACCTTTCTCTGTCTGGCTTATTCCACTGAGCACAATGCCCTCCAGTTTCATCCACGTTGTTGCAAATGTCATCTCTTTGTTGGTGAACAACAATTCTTAACTCAGTGCCAGTAGGGTTGTTTTATTTTTCCTGAATCCGTCTCTCCTTGCAGCTTCAGAACGAGTTAGAGAAGGGTGAGCGGGACAACTCAGAGCTACAGGAGTTTGCCAACGCCGTCCTGCAGCAGATAGCAGACCGCTGCCCCGACATCCTGGAGCAGGTGGTCAGCGCCCTGGAAGAGTCTTCGTGACCGTCTCCGTGGGAAGCGGCCAGCCCAGTGCCGTAGCCCGCTCGATGAGCCCAGGAGCCGAGGAGGGAGAAGCACGAGGAGGGGGCGCTCAGACGGCTCTTGGCAGCAAGCACACACTCCAGACTCTGCCCTGTCTCGGTTAGTCCCGCGAGTGTGGCTCCAGCACCGTTTCTGCGTCTGTCCTCCTGTCTTCCACTGTCGTCTCTGCGCTAATTGTCCTGCTGTCCAGGGCGGGTGAGGGGCCGAGCCTCCGTGGAGAGCTGCCGTCCAGCCATCGGCAGTGACACCGTGGACGTGGGCGGCCGTGCCCTGACAGAGGGACACGGGGCAGAGCCCTCCTCCCTTCTGTCCGTGGCGTGAGAACTAGGTCTGGACTCTGCAGAGCTCAGCTCACCGAGAGACGCCTTCCCTGCAGACCAGGGCGCCGCGTGTTCTAATGTCACAACAGGTGCTTTCTCGTAAGAGGGTAAAAAAGACAAAAAACAATCTCAAAAAGAGTATTAACAAAGGAGACGGCGGGGAGAGAGAACAGGGACAGAGAGCCGACCGGCTCTTCTCTTTCCCATCCGTCCTGGTTACTCTCCACCAGGGCCGTCTGTGCGGGACTGCGGGCGGGCTGCGCCGGGGCTTGGAGATCCTGGCCTCCGTGCCGCACTGGTGCCTGCGCTTCTCCTAGCCTCTGGGGCGAGTCCCTCTTGTTGAGGACCTTGGTGTGTGAGATCACATCTGTCACTGAAAGAGAAGAGGGCAGTGTGGTCACCCCCGCAGCTCTGCTTCTGTGGAAGGCGACCGGTCCTCGGGGTCAGGCCGGCTTCTCCCAGACACCTCCCTCGTCAGCAGTCTAGGCCCCAAAGCGTGCTTCTGCCTCACCCCACCGCCCGTGCTCCACGCTCAGGCGGCCCAGCCTCCCCCCTTCAGCTTTCCTGCTGAACCAGAGCTTCTGCTTCAGATGAGTGTTTCTCTTCCCACGCGCATCCCTTCCCCCTTTCTTGCATTCGGATAATCGCGATGAAGTGCCTCCTGTGTGCAAGCCGCTGTCGGGCACCCATCCTGGAAGAAAGCCTGTCTGCGGGGGGCGAGGGCAGTCGAGGATTCTGTGAGACCCACCTGGTCCAGTCAGAGCAGTAAGAGGCACACCCTTCCCCTCCCCCATCTTAGTAGAAGGTATCTCTTCCAGGAAAATCTTCCACAGATCAGCATTTCTCGTTATAATGGAATTTATGGGTCTTGGGGGGCAGAGAGCTGAGTCACTTACTCGCCTGCAGAATCCCATCTGGTGACTTGGGGTTCGGGGTTTTGTCCCCCTGAGAGAGTGTACTGTTTAATGGGCTGCAACGGTGGATGGTGTTTTCTCTAGACATCCAGGTGCACCTTGTCGAACTCAGCCAGGTCCATGTTGCAGAACAGAAAATTGACCCCAAAGTTGCAAATCCCGTGGAAGGTGTGGACGTCTTCCCCAGGCGTAGATAATGGCAGCCTTAAACATCAGGCAGCAGGAAGTAGATCACTTCACCCACCTCGGTAGCCCCTTGACCACCTCTCTGGCCAGACACCCACCAGACGCTCACATCCTGGTAAGAGCTGCTGGGCTCGATGGGTCTGTCTTGCGTTTTCTCCTTTCTCCTCCCCAAGTTCTCCGATGCTGCCTGTTAGGTCCTCACAGCCATCAGTCCTGTATCTTCCCGCCAGCAGCCTGTGACTGTACCATCAACTTATATGGTCACATCTCCAGCTGCCCCGACTCCCTGTGAGAAGCTGTCGAGTACTCCTTACCGAAGGTTTAAATGGACTCTGCTCGTAAATTTCTTACTGAGATGCTTCCTGATAGCCAGGCTGGCTGGAGAGGGGGTGCAGCGGAGGTTAGACAGCAAGTGGTGACCGTTTGTGGTCAATTACCTCAGTCCCGTTTGTTTACGGCACTGCCCATAACTCATGTAGAAAGCCCCCAGGATTTTAGGGCTGGAGTCCGGGAATCTCACACTGTCCACCACAGAGCAAGAACTGCAGTAGAAAGACACCCTCCCCGGGACCACAGCAAACAGGGAACAGGACCCAGAGGCCACGTGCAGAGCAGCGGCGGGCCTGGCCGGCTTCTCTCTAGCTGGTCTCCCGGGTCCCGCTGATTCCACGTCACCCATCAGATTCCACCCCTGCCACCTGCCCTCCTGCCTGCTCTCCTTCCTGTGGCTTCCCCTCCAGGGCCTTATGGGATTCCTCTGGGCAAGCGCTTCTGAGAAGAGCAGTTTCTGGGCAGACGCCATCTGTCTGTCTCTGAAGCGTAGCGGGACTCTCCTCGGTGCTTCTTGGGTGGTCGTCCTGGCATCTCAGATGGTTCTAGGGGCTGTTGGGTCCTGGATGAAAGTCGGCCCTGGCTAAAGTTTAATAGTGAACAAGGACCTGCCTTTATACCACAGGCAAAGTTAGCATAGTTTTTAGCATTTAGAGTGACTTACGAAGTTTAGGTCCTTCACTGAGCCAACGTTGGCTAAATGCATGATTCCCGTCACACGGGATCTGTCGTTCCGTGGCCTCCTCTGATGTTCATGGTTTCACAAGTTCATGCAGCTGCTACCGGGGATCTGTAACCTTGAAAACTCACTGCGGGTTACCTGTGATGCTCACCAAACTCCGCCATCCCATTGGCAAGTCTCGTTCCCCTTAGCACCTGCAGCTCCGTACCCAGATCAAAGTCATCATGAAGGGGGAAGCAAGAGGGAGAGTGGGTGGCATCCGCCCTGGGGCTCAGGACAGAAGAAGGACAATGCGACCGTGTCCTCTTCCCATGTACCTCCATCCCAAGCATTCACTGAGCTCTTGATGCAGTGTCTGGACTGAGATTTGCAAGGACTTGGATACCGTTTGAAATGGAAAAGATTTTAAGTGGGCTTTAACACGTGAAGAAATGGGAACGGGAATCCCCAAATCCATCTCGGCTCTAACCTTGACCGTGTACCTTACCATCCGAAGGCGCCTCTCTTCCTGACACTTGGGCCTTAGAAATACTAGTGAAGCAGACGGGACCCGAGGCACCTCCAGGGTGGTTGGAGGCAACGGGGCTCGGCCCTGTGTGTCCATAAAGGCCTGTTGGGGTTTCCGCAGGAGCCACCGGCTCACCCGCTCCTCAGAGGGAGAGGAGAAGAGGAGGTCGTCTCCAAGTTTTGGCCGATGGCTGGTGGTCAGGATCGGCGTTGGGATTGGCTGCTGGAGTCCTGCTGATCCCGCCCGCGCGCCCTCCTGTGGAGCCCACTGTGTAAGCACAGGCCCACGGGTGGCCTCGGGGCCGTTGAGGCAAGAGCAGCGGAGGAGGGCGTGGCCATGCAGACGTGGCCCTCGAGTGGTTTTTCCCGAGTCCCCACGGACCCTGCGTCCCGCCCCCGCAGCTTCGTCTCCCACCGGCGGGAGCCCAGGGCTGCGGGAGGGGAGGGGAGGGCGTGGGGCGCCGCGGGAGCGGGCAGCTGGGCCGAGCAGACCTGGGCCCACCTGCACTGCCGGCCCCGGCTTCTTGGCAGGGACGCACCGTCAGATAAGTGTCTTCAGAGGAATCTGGTGTTTCCCCCACGTGAACTAAGGGAACATTTGGGCAAGAAGAAGACATCCAGGGGAATCCTTCTGAACAAAATGGCTGTCTTACTCTTTTTAAGCAAAAACTTTCCAAACTTTTTAGTGTCAAAACTGTAACCAAGTGTCTCCTGGGTTTTTCCAACGTGTTTGGCGAGTGCTGTGACCCTGTTGTAGGTATTTCTCCTCCTGACTCTTGGGGGAGAGGTGGTTTTAGGGATTGATTTGGGGGGAGTGGTTTTTTGTCCCACACCCACCTCCTCTTTTGTTTCTCTGCTTGTCGATGTTGTCTGTGTGGTTCAGAGAATTGGGGCGGTTACCTTGTGTCCACTGTTGAGATTATTAAGATATTACAAAGTAGTTGTAGGACTGAAAAATTAAAGAGCTGTGTTTTAAGAAATCCCTCCAATATCATGTTAATAAAGGAATTCAAGCTATGGGGCAGCCAGGCTCCTTCCATCCCCCCGAGTTGGCTGGGATGGCAGCTGAGCTGGCCTCTGGGGAAACACGGTGGCCATGGTCCAGGCAGGCGACCACCCAGGGAAGGAGGCAACCGCTGAGTTAGGGGAACAGGCTCCTGGGCCCCGGTTTGCCCGTCCACCTTCAGGACCTCTGCGGGGTGTTTCCAGATCTGTGAGCCCACACTGGCCGCAGCCCCGTGTGCCGGATGCTGTGTGGTCACTTGGGCCTGGCGCCGGACCTCTTCCTGCCCACTTGGTGCTATATCATCCCGTGGCCCATCCGAGACGGGCCGAGCCCCGGCCAGCCTGGAGCCTGTGATCTGGATGGGGGAGTCCTCCTCAGAGCCCAGTTCCTTTGGCTTCAGTTCCTGGATCCTTTCCCTGAAAGCTTTTTAGAGCCCAGGTCTCCCAGGCCCAGGCCATCCGTCTGGGCCCTAGCAGTGGCCTGGCCAGGAAAGGAGGTGGCCCCTGCCAAAGCCAGAGAGCCCCCCCCGGGCTGGGGCAGCCCCCCACCCTCCCACAGCAGTATTGTGCTCTCCACCTCGGCACGGTGGACCCCTGAGGGCGGCCCGGGGCCTCCGAGCCCAGTGGGTGTGCAGCGGGCTCCCGCTGCTCCAGAGGGAGAGCTGCCCTTTGATGAGGCCCCAGGGCGCCGGGCACTGACCCCCTGTAGCTTGAGTTCCTTCTGGCAGCAGTAGCTGCTGAGGGGTGGGGTCTGTGAGCGAACGCACCGCTGCCTCCAGCTGTGCACCTGCCCCGTCGTGCGGCTGACACGATCATGACGTTACAGAGAAACTGAGTTAGAGTCGGATTTGCCTTGATAATTATTGTAAACACTTTGTTCGTTTTTTTTCTTTTTTATTCACAAACTAAATCCATCAGGAAATTATAAAGTTATTTAAAAATCATGTGCTGTGTCTTTCTTTGAGCCTCATGCAGTCTGCTCTCCAAGTGGAATGTGTCCTCAGATGCTTTGCAAAGCAGGAGAGGCCCGCGGTCCCCACGAGGTCAGCCCCACTCGGGGTACCAGGGGTGCAGGGATGCCCGGGTCAGGGGAGGGAGGAAGAGTGGACAGCACCCTGGCCCTGACGCGGAGAAGGCGGCGCCCCTCTGGGTGCCCACCTGGACTCCAGCTTGGCATCCCCCTCGTTGTGTTTCACAGTCCACACACCAAGGCCCAAGCCCCTGTCCCCGATTCAGCTCTAACGGTTCCCGGGCTTAGAACAAGTGCCCGCAGGGCGGGCGCAGCTTCAGAGGGTCTGGTTCAGGGGGTGCTGGAGCTCCCCTGGGACGTGCACCCATGTGTAGACTCAGGTGTGAGCTGCGTCAGCCGACAGAAGGCGGGTGCCAGGAGGACCAGGCCGCCGAGCCGTCTGCTCGGGAAATCTCCAGCCCTGGCGTTTGTCTTGGGCCTGGTGCGCAGGGAGAAATTATTCTGGGCGCTCTGGTGAGAGCTGGTTTTCTGCTTCACTTGTTTCTGTCTCCCACGCGGGGCTGGCCTGCTCTCGTGCGGGTCCTGCTGGCCCGTGACCCGGGCGTTGCACTGGGGGCCGAGTGCCGCCACCCGTAGCCCTGCCACGCCCGGCTCTGCCCGGCCTCACCCCCTCCAGCCTGGGACGCGGCGCTGCTCACAGGGCTGAAGACCCGCTGCTGCCCGTCCTTCCCTTGTAAAGCGGGAACAGTTTTGCTGGCAGGATGTGGATTTTTGCATGTAATCACCAGCATGAGCAGGTGTGTCCACAGCCAGCCGTCAGGTGGCAGTGGTCGCTGTCCCAGGGTTTTCCATTCATCCTGTCTCACTGCTTGTTGTTGCACCCCGTGGTCACCAGCTCAGCTGCAGACAAAGGGATGCAGAGACCCCGAGGTTTAAGGAAAATACGTGAGAGGAGACGTTTCAGTGGAGAATTCCGTCCATTCACTTGTTTTTTCTCTGGATCCGGAGAAGATTGCGATTGTTTGGAGCATCTCGGGCTGACCCAAGACAGTTAGGGGCTGGTTAGACCCTGGGTGAGGGGCCATTCTGAGGACGCTGGCTTGAGATCCACACGCTTTCCCGGGTGTCCGGGGGGGACCCTGGACTCGCAGCCCGGAGCCTCGGCCGCCCTCGACCTCATCTCCCAACCTTCTCTAGGTCACAAGCTGTAACGGGGATAATGATGATCCTGTTTCACCTGTTTGAAAGCTGCTTTAAGAGTGGGAAGCGTAGAATTGCTTTCTTCACGTCTGCGATTTGCTTTAAGATCATCCAGCCCGTGTGCCGCGGAGGCAGTGGCGAGCAAGATGTGGACACGGGGAGACTGGCTGTGAGCCATTGTCCAAGCCGGGCGTTGGGTACCCAGCTCTTCACACTGCTGTGTCCACCGTGTGTGTCTTCTTAAACATTCACACCCTGCAGCGGTGCTTGCGGGGATCCCACACGGACCTTCCCCCAAGACCCCCGATCCCTCACCCGCGCTCAGCGGCTCAGCGTCGGGCTCCGGGACCGTGGCCTGGGCGCCAGTTCAGGACTCGGCGCATCACGTGTTTGTCTCGTGGCACCTTCGTGGCCGTCGCGTGCGGTAGGTCCTCTTGCCCCATTTCACAGGTGAGCCCAGGGCGGCCACACAGCTTTCCCAGGGCCGTGCCCTCGTCCACGGTGGGGCTCTGTCTCCAGAGCTGTGCTCTCCACCCCCGTCAGTGGCCACCTCTCTGGGCGTGCGGGGTCCACGGGGGTGGGATGGGGAGGAGAGGTGGGCAGAGGAGGGCAGGCCATGCTCCTCACAGGCCTCAAGTTTGACCTTGGAAGACAGTTTTGCCAGCAGAGGGGTTCAAGGATGGGGGGGGCAGGAAGGGACACGGGCGAGTGGTCTGGTGTCCCCAGGGCAAGGTCACTCGCTCGGCTGGAGGGCACAGCAGGGCCCAAGGTCAGTGCCCGGAGGCCTGCGATGCCCTGGAGAGGAAGGCCTGCTAGGGAGCGTGGCACACGCGCCCAGGTCCCCCCTGCAGCCACCGCAGGGAGCTGACCGGGGAAAGGCAGCTGGGTGTCCGGGCTGGGAGGGAGCGGTCCGCCAGCCCGAGGCTGTGGGACGCACTGGGAGGAGGCTGGGCCCGGGTCCCGGTTACACAGCAGGGAGTGAGGGGCCTAGGGGTTGACCCCTGTCGGTGTCCCCAGCCTCCCTCCCTGTTCTCTGAGTGGCTCATGGCCAGTCCAGGGCTCAGAGCCAGGGAGGGGCTGAGGATGTGGGGACACCTCCCCTGGCCGGAGGGTTTGGGGCATCGAGGCCAGTGGGGGTTCAGAGGGTAGAGGGGAGCCACGCTCTCACCAGCAGGAACCGGGCGGGGGGCCCCCCGGGCACCTGGGCCAGGAGGGCCGCCCTGCCTTCCCGCCGCCATCCATACGGCACCTGGCACCCGCTGCCTGTCCTGGGCGTCCCCAGGCTGCCTGTGCCTGAAGGGACGTGCTCTGCGGTCCCAGGAGGGCGAGGACAGCATCCACCCATGAATTGATTTCTCAGGATTCCCGTCGGGCTTTGGCGGGAAGCTGCGGCATCCCTGCCTGGAGCTTGGGTGGGCAGCGGGCGGCCTCCCGAGCACGACGGCAGGGCCTCCACGCCCGGACGGCTCGCGGAGGAGGGCAGCTGGAGGGCTCGGCCAGGCTCTCCTTGGGTTGTCACCATAGCGTGGACGTCAGGATGAGCCACCTGATGCTTTAGGGAAAAAGAAAACTCGAGTAGCCACTCAGCCTTCCTGTCCGGGGGGCCACCGAGGGACCGAGTCTCCAGGCTGCCCGGCCCCTCCCCACGCTTGGCCTCTGCGGGCCTGCGGAGGTACAGGGAGCAGTATCCCCACCCTGCTGGACAGGCGGGCAACCAGGGCAAAGTAGGGCTTGGCCCGTGGGGCCCTTGGCCATGAGCGGGAAGGCCGGTGTGCCAGGAGTCGGAAGACGGGGTCTCCGTCCGGTCTGTACTGCGGGTCGGGTGTGTGGCCCTGGAGGGTCCACCTGGCTTCTCTCACCTTCAGTTTCCTCATTTTAAAAATAGAGGTAAGGATGCCCACTCCCACAGATGGGGGACGCGGGACCTGGAGTGGGAAGTCTTCTGCGGGGGGTCACGGGCCTCTTCACCTGCCCTGTTCCAGGCACCCCCATCCTGGCTGCAGTGCCCTCCCCCAGGGGCGTCAGATGCCAACAAGCATGTTGCTTCCGCTGTAGAGGGAAAAACCCAGATGCCAACGCGCCTGCCTCATCAGCCGTGGCCGTGCTACCCTCCCACGGGGCTGGGCTCCTGAATGTGGACTTTGTCCCATTTGGCAAAAGGGACCTGGGAGACTGGAGCCTGATGCCGGGTCCCTGAGCCAGGACGTCACGCCGTGGGCTCCAGCCCGCAGCCCCCGACGTGGACCGGAACCTGCGGGAGGTGCGGTGTCCCCATCCAGGACGGCAGCTGAGCCCGCTCCCCGCCCAGGCCTGCCGCTGGAAGGACCCCGAGGGCAGGCGTGCGGCTCCTCCTTCTCTGGGGCCCCTGCATGCAGTGGCGCATACCTGTGCTCACTGGGACTGCCGTGCACTCGGTGGCCTCCCACGAGCCTTGACTCCAGGACCGTCCCACAGCGGGCCCAGTTCCGGCCCATGTGGCTGCAAGTGTACTGGCCGGGTGGCTGTCAGGAGGAGACCTCCCCCGAGGGCCAGCCTGGGGGGACGCTGTCTGCCCCCCGCCCAGTCACAACCCTGCCTCCAGGCTAGGAGGGGGGCAGCTGGGACTGAGCCTGGAGCCCCGGGACCCTGCTGAGGGCCTTGCCGTGGCCTCACCATCGGCTCCCCTGGGACCGGGTCCTCTGGGGCCTTGAGACTTTCCTTTCTTTCCAGCAGCTTCTGAGCAGTCTGAGGAGGCTCCTTCCTACGTCGCCGACCGCGGCGGGTAGAGACCCGGCGCCTAAGGCAGGTGTCGCTTCTTCAGAGGAGGGTCTTCGTGCTGAAGGCTTGTTTGATGTTCGGGGAAGTTGCCAGGGACTGCGGTGGCAGCCAGTCTCTCTAAAGGTTCCTCCCCTCCCCCTGAGCGTGTGCATGTGGATGTGTGTGCGCGTGTGTGTACGGACAGCCACACAACCAAACTGCGTGTTCACACGCACACGTACCCACAGGCTTCGGCCCAGAGGGTCTCCCTGCCATGAAGGAAATGAGTGAACAAATTCCGCATTTTTGTTCCCCTCGGAGGCCTGCAAAGAAGGTGTTAAGAGGCAAGATTTAAATCATAAACTATTAAAAGCCCAACGGCCCAACGTGCAGCTGTGGCCAACTTGGACCGTGTCTGGGGCGAGGCTCCGGAGCTGATCCGGAAGGCATCCGAGGGGGAGGACGCGGCCGGGCAGGAGCGCGGGGCGGCCCGCGTGCAGGGATCCTCCCCTCCGCGTGCCCTCACGCTCCCTCCTCAGCCTCCCGGACTCAGAGCCCCAGCTGTGGGCAGCCGGGTGGCTTGCAGGGCACCCTCCTGGCCCGACGCCGGGGTTCACGTCTGTGTCTCACCAGCTCTTCCGGGGGCCCCTGTGAGGTCTGCGTCCAGGTTTGCATCAGTTGCCGTTGCCGGGGGTGACTCACGTCCCTGGGACAGCCCCCCGGCCCACCAGCTCCCACCACCACCAAAGTGGTTTGTGGTCGTCCTGCCGGGTGGGCCCCTGTGAGCTTAAGAAACGAGACTGAGAAGGGAGTTATTTGTAGAGCACATGCGGTGCCCTCGGTCGCCCGGCTGCAAGCGGAGGGCAGGAAGGGGCTGCTGATTAAGTGCCTGCGATGAGCTGGACGCCAAGCCAGCCCTGGCCACGCGACGGACCGGGGTCCCATCTGCGTTTCAGACGGATGTGGCTCACATCTGTTCTCTCATCAGCGTACCCTCTGCATACAAGAGTGTCCGCATCCTAGGTGCTCGATAAAACC